AAGCGGCCCCGCCCCCCGCCATTCCCGCAGCCGCCGCGCGGGGGCGGCAGAGGCCGGGGAAGGGCGGGACCCCCGCGCCCCGCCCGGTGCCGGTCTTGGTCCCGGTCTCGGTCTCGGTCCCGGTCTCGGTCTCGCCCCGTAGCAGGGGCGGCATGGGCTGATGAAAGGGTAAGGCTTGCGCCTCCCGCTCCCAGGCGTCTAGGGCACCCGCCCTTCTGAAACGGAGCCTCGCGTTTCAGAGGAAAGGAGGCAACGCCCATAGCCGTCTAAAAATGTATCTTTAACAAGGAAAACCACTTAGAAGCACGCTGTGCATTCAACAACCGACACCTACGGCCTCTTCCTTAGGAGCCCAGACTGTACCGGCCTGTCCTTAGGAGCCCGTATTTCCCATGTAACTCCCCGCCGCCGCTGCAGCCCAAGAGCGTCGCTGTTCTCAGAAGCCATTGCCTCCCTGCAGCCATCAGCTGCCTTGCCTAACAGCAGGAACAGACTCTGTATCACCATTTCTCTTCAGTAATAAGGGCTTTGAATTGATTCTTTCCCTTGTGATCCCCACCTTTGGAACAGAATATTCTCTCCTTCAAGTCTCCATAACAAGTATTCAATCACTGCCATTTATTTCAAGAAGTAAGCTATGGTCTCAAAAGCACTGCTCCCCTTCCCTCTCCGCCCCAAAGGCATTCCATGACTGTAAAGGAGCTGTGATGTCAATATGTAGGTCAGGAAAATGGTGTAGTGACAATTTGTAGGACAAAGGCAAGTGTATGTTCAGCAGGCAGTGGGACTATAGGGCACAGCAGTGTTATTAAGCAGGAACACAGAAAGGAGTGTTATTTTGGAGTGGCTGACCCCAAGGTGCTGGTGATGGAAGTATAACCCAACTTGTGTTTAAAGGAAACTTAGAGCTCTTAGCAGAGCACACACTGCTATAGCCACATCTCAGACAACTACAGCTAAACCTAAGCCTCCGGATTAAAACTCTGCAGATTTTAACACTCAGGCCTTGACTCCACTGTCAAAAGACAGGAGAAGTTGACAAATGACTACCAAACCATCAGATGCACTCAAGCTGCACAAAGGCACACATGGTCTTCAGTAAAAGTTTCATTTTCAGTATAAAACAGTAAGGCCATTATTAAACAAAACCTACAGGTAAAGAGAAAATATCACATCTTAACAAAAAAGATTTATTCTGACTAAACAAAATGTACAATGTTTCCCAAATGACAGAGTGTTTTCAAGACTCTGAAGTTTGCAGGTCCATTGGGGAACTTGATCACTTCTTACCCTGCAGTTTGATCAAGCTACTTTTTGCCAGACTTCTTTATTCCACCACTGGCTGCCAAAAGAAACAACACAGCTGGTTAGGTGACTGTGACAGAGCTCAGCTACAAATACAGCTCCTCATAAAGATGAATCCCCCCCATTAGACAGCCTGCACAGGCCTGGTCCCCCTGGTGAACTGTTTCTGCGTGTGTGACTACTCCTGTTTGATCTCACACACCTTATTTTGAACAGTGATTTATTTAACATTAGGAATTAAGTTTCTCCTGGAACCAAATATGCCCCATGATTCTACAATGGAACTAAATATTCCAACAGTTGCTTTGTTTCTCCGTTGATTATTTCTTACACAGCAGGAGCAGTCTGGTCAAATCAAAATCAAGGGAATAAAAGCATTGGTATCCCTACACCAAAGCCCCCAGCTGGGATCAAAGCTCTACAGAAGCTCTACAGAATTCCCTGCAGACTACTGAAGACAGTAAAGTGAAAGAACACCAGGTATGGACACAGCAACAAGTGTAACATTTGTTGTAAATGCTGTTTTTCTCCAATTGTATCAGGTATGACCAGTAGGAAGGGAAGAGAACAGCAAGGCTGCACCAAGACAGAGTGCAAGGGCCGAGCATCAACAACAGACTGTGCATTGCAACTTGATTCCAACAGCATCGCCCTGCTAAGGCTCTTGGAAATAAGCTGATCCTGCCACAGCAACACAACAATCTTTACTGACTTTGGTATGCATCAGACAAGGGCCAGATGCCTGACATCAAGTCTAGAAAAGGGTAGAGAAAGAGAACTCTGAAGAGATCTGTGAGCTGAAGCACCCTACACAGAATGAGTTTAGGATGGTAAGGGCAGAACAGAGGCCCAATGAATTCTTCTGCATCTGTCTGAAACACCAAAGACATTCCAAGTCCCACACCCAGCACACTTTTTGTACATAGATAAATCAGAGAAGTTAGAGCAGTCTGAGATAAATAAACAATATTCCAAGTCAGTGGGACTGGATGGCACTTCCTTCAAGAGCACCCAACAAGCTGTAATGTGAAAATGAATCTGCTGGGTAAGATTTACAACATCAATACAGACACTATGTCAGACAACTCACGAACTGTCAGCAAAGCTCCCAGATATGGAATGGGTTCTGTGAAGAACTGGGCAACTACAGAGCAGCAAGTCTGAGCTCAATCTCTGAGAAGATAACAGAGTCTGGAACAAAGCAAATGAATGAACAGTCTTGTGAAAGTTAAGAGGATTCCCATAAAGAGTAAATCCTTCCTCACTGACCTGCTGGGACCCTGAGGTTATCAATGTTTGAATAAAGTGAACTCAGGGGACTTCATATTTTCACACAGTACCTGACAAGATTCCATAGCAAATGTTATTAGTGAAACTATTTTGTTATGGGATTGTTGGAAAGGTCTCTTAAGACTGAAAGTTTGCTGAAAAATAGGAAGCAAAATGTGAAGTTAATGATCTTCTCAGAATGGAAAAGTGGTTAGTAACATTAATGGGCCACAGGTCGGAAGCAGGCAGGATGCACCCCTGAACATCTCAGATGGGACCATGGCAAACACTGGAGAAGCAGAAGGTGAGAGCAGACCCACATGAACACTCTCCAGCTGTCACTGAGACAGACTGGGCTCCATGAGCCACCAAGACACTGTGAACTCACTTCATGTCTCACGTATTTACAGTCACTCAGGCAGAGGGACTGAAGCCAGACTGGTTAACAGTCACTTTTTTTTTTTTTCCCCTGCCAAGAATCTTCTGCTCTTGAAGAAACTCATCCTCTCAGAGAAGAGGCACTGGATTTGTTAAACTTGGAGGACTGTGGCAAAGCCTACATGTCATACATCTGAAAAGAAAGCACTGGTGTGCTAAAAAAATGGTAGAAATGTTCCTGCACATACCAGTGGACTAGGTCAGCATGCCAGACACAGTGTTTTGCCTGCTGGATCAGAACCTACATCATTTGGGGATGAAAATGCATAAGAAAAAAAAATAGCCTCTATTTGTTCCATATCATCTGTACCTGCCATCAACTAACTTAGCTATGTCAAATAACACAGAGGCACCTGCCTTTTTATGCTTATCAAGCAAAAACATTAAATTTTTGAAGGCAGCCAGACCCCCATTTCTCCTGCCAGAATGGCACATCACTTACCCAGGGGCCCTTTTCCAGCAGCTTTTGCTTTCATCTCCTCAAGTTTCTTTTGCTCCTCCTTCTGTTTCTGTTTGAATGCCAGATCAGTCTAAAGGAAAGAACAGCAGCATTTTTTAAGATCTCTTCCACAGAAAAATTCAAAAACAACTGAGAAGCAATGAAAAACAAATGTAATATTCCAGCAGCAATAAACACCTGACTAGGCCAAGGCAGGATGGATGAATAATGCTAAATACGCAGAACATGGCAGAACTATCACCAAGGTTTTTGCTGTACCACAAACTAAACTTTAACTCCATATGCTTGGTCTTTCTGGAATTATTTCTCATGGCATAATCTCCTTCTGAGATTATGATTCCTCTGACTGATAGATGTTTGCAGTAACACCATTCATTAATATGCCCTCAGTGACACACATGAAGCCCAGCAAACAGGCACTAACAAAAACATTTAGATTATAAAGAATGAAAATAAAGTAAGGCTGCTTTCACCTGTAAAAACGCATAATCTTTTTCAAAAATCCTCTCACACATATGTAATTTTTGCTGGGTTTAATAAATATGTATTAATTCCAAGAAATCTAATGAGACTGCTGGCAAACTGTACAGGCAAGGCAGCTATTGAGCCTCCTTGCTGGATGAGTCTCCAAATCTAGGAGAAGTCAGACACACTCTGTCCCTTAGATACACATTCTTCAGACACCAAGGCTGAAAAGAACCCAGATTTTTAACATGGCACTCAGGACTTTGGGGTAACTGAACTGAGGGCCTTGACAAGATTGACTGAGATTCCACTGACTCTTCACCAATCCAGTCTATGGCTCATCCTTACAACTGCAAAGCTTTCCTCTTCTTTCAGTTTAAGCCTGCCTTGCTGCAATGTAACTATATTACTTCCCCTACCTACCCCTCACAGAACAGAATAGTCTGTTCCTCTCTCCAGGTTTTCCTGTCTCCTGCAGGCTAATATGTCTTTCCCTAGTAAATCAATCCCTCACATTTATCCACTTCTGTGGGATTTGTTCTTGCAATGTGTTGCTCCCAAGTGCTCACAATATTGCAGGGCTGGGACAAAAAGAAATATTACATCATTTGACACACAAATGTTTATAACTTGGATCCTTGTAAGCACTTTATTAGTTCTACCATTTCTTTAACAATGAAGTTTATTTAGAAAGCTATGATTTTTTTTCCTTTTTCAAAGAGATATTGTATTTGCTTTTTTCCAAACAGTGGCACCTCATCCATCATGCACTATTCTCAGAAATAACAGCTGACATCCAAACTTAAATGTAAGGGATCAGAGTATCTCTAACACTCAATTCACTGGTACTTAATTTATCCAAGATACACAATAATCCTGGGCTCCCGGGACCGCAGTGATTAATTGACTTCAGATCACAGTCTGATGCTTTGGCAAGGGCATTCCAAGCTCCTCCGGTAGCCAGAACTGCTGCATCCACCAGCATGGTGGAACACAGGTGGGATGTCGTCATGGAATCAGAGAAACACAGAATGGTTTGGGTAGGAAAGGATCTTAAAGATCATCCCGTTCCAAAGTCCTGCCGTGGGCAGAGACATCTTCTACAAGCCCAGGTTACTCCAAGTTTCGTCCAACCTGCCCTTGGACACTTCCAGGGATGGGGCAGCCGCAGCTTCTCTGGGCAGCCTGTGCCAAGGATTCACCACCCTCACAGGAAAGAATACCTTCTTAGTATCTAATCTAAACCTCTTCTCTTTCCCTTTGAGCCCATTCCCTCTCGTCCTGTCACCACCTGCTCCTGTAAATGTCAGCAGGAACCCCGCGGGCAGCCAGGCCCGCCGGCTCCCTCCCGGCCGGGGCTGAGCCCCCGCCGCCCCCGGAGCTCTCCCGCCGCCCTACCTCATCCAGGTCCTTCGTCTGCTTCTTCGGCTGCTTCAGCGGCTTCTTCTTGCCGCCTGCAAAGACAGAGGAGACAGTGAGGGCCGGGCGGGGCCGGGCAGGAGGCACCAGCGGCCCCGGGCCCGGCCTTACCCTCCCGGCCCGACATGGTTCCGCTCGCTCCGCTCGCTCCGCCCGCTCCCGCCGCTTCCGCCGCTCCCGCCGCTCCCGCCGCCGCTTCCGCCGCCGCCGCTTCCGCCGCCGGGCCGGGGCAGGTACGGGGCGCGGCGGGGCCGGG